GGATTTGTTATCGTATGTTCCATCGCCAATGGGTTTGAATAAAATTTAAATCGTGGTACAGAACAGATTAAAAGAGATGGAATAGATTTAAGATGGAATTGTATCGAAAGAAAAAAATTTCATGTATGATTGAAGAACATCACCAACTGAATTTGACTTCATTTGTAGCTATTATGATCAATTATGTGCTCTGGAAGGAAAAATTCCTACACATGAGTTGCAAATACCATTCAAGTGGAAAGACGCCTTTGACCGTACAATTTTTGGAGGAAAACTTAGTTTGAGTAAGTAATAAAAAAATTTAATTATTATCTCATGTCTCTGTCTTAATTTTATGATGAGCCATTTAAAAATAATTTGAAACAATTACATCTGTCCTTTTCTAAAGAATTTAGCTAAATTTCTTATGTGATTCATTGTATACTTTTTTTCTTTCATTAAAAAAAAAGAGAAAAGCTGAACAATGTGCAAGAAGAGTTTAGCTAAAAAGAACGGACATATTGATGTCTAGGAGCTATCTTTAGATTAATGATGTTATGAGCTATCTTTAGATTAAGAGTACATATTAGACTTGTAGATAAGATAAGACGATATAAGTTTTGATTTACATCAATAACAATGTGATGCAACTTGTAATACTGTTTTATATAGCGATCAGTACATTGGCGTATGAAAAAGTATGTGTGCTCTTCAACATTGCTGCTTTACAAAGTTCAGTGGCAGCTACGCAAACCTTAGACAGCGACGAAGGATTAAAATTGTCAGCTAAATTATTTCAGGTTTGTCTTTTTATCCATGTTATTTATTTTTTACTGTGTGTTCAATGCTATAATCTTCCTGTAGCAATCAGCTGGAATATTTAATCATCTGAAAGGAAACGTTATGATGGCAATTCAACAAGACCCAACGCCCGATATTACCCCGGAAACACTTGGAGCATTGAGCGCACTAATGCTTGCGCAAGCGCAAGAAATATTCGTGCATAAAGCGATCCACGATTCTATGAAGGATGGCATCGTTGCGAGACTAGCAGCGCAAGCGGAAGAATTATATGCGGATGCTCTAAAATTATTCCAAAAGGAAATCTTTCGTGCATTTTGGGATAAGGAATGGGTGCCACTGGTCAGTACATTGGGATGACGAAACCGAATCACTTTCATATGTTTATTATAAGTAAATGTTATTACAGATTGCGGGTAAACAAGCTGGTTATCGCGCTATGGCTGAATTTTATCAATCGCTTGTATGCAAGAATAATAAATCAATTGGAGAAGAAATTGCTAGACTGGAGGTAATGGTGATATCGCGTAATTTATTTATTTTATAAATTCATATATTTTAAATGTTTATAAAAACACGGTAATATTTTTAGCATGCTGTGGAGCTGTTCAAAGCTGCTCAGCAAAGATCGAATAAACCACATTTGTTCCAAGATTACGCTAACAAAGCACAGAGAAATCTGACAGAAGTGAAAAAAGATAATGATTTCATATATCATGAAAGGATTCCAGATATCAAAAATGTGGAAGCTATAGGAAGAGCTAGCGTTGCTAAACTACTTCCACTACCTGAAGTATTTAGTACCGATTTTAAAGGTGTTTAATATTAATCTTACATAAGAAACATCTTCTCGTAATGTCGTAATTATACTGACACATGCTTATAGATTTGTTTGCTGAACTGTTGCCTCTTAATATACGCCACGCATTGTCAGCATATGAAAATCGTCGTAATGAGCTAGTTAATTATGAAATTTCAAATCTTCGTGAAATGACTCAACTTTTAAATAGGTACATATTTAAAGTATAGTGCAATTTTTATCCTCGAGTTATAAATTTCTCGTTAAATATTTTTATCGTATATACATACAGCGTTCTAGCGAGTTTGAACTTACCAGCTGCTATAGAAGATACGAGTGGAACGGAAATACCTGAATCGCTTTTGGACAAAGCGCTTAGCGTACGAGAATTGGGCGGAATAAAAACTTTGGAAGAATCTATGAGAGAATTGCCGGATTTATTGCAGCGTAATAAAGAACTTCTAGACGAGGTAAAAATATACATTATTTTTTTTTTATTAAAGCTGCTTAAAAGTATATTGTATGTTATCTTTTACATACTTTGTAGTCCGAAAGAATGCTGCAAGAAGAACGTGACTCTGACAATCAATTAAGAGAACAATTCAAGGAACGTTGGAAGCGAACGCCCAGTGCTCGATTGACAGAACAATTTACTAACAATTTACAAAAATATCGTGAAATTATAAATAATGCAGTTATTGCTGATAAGGTAAAAATTCAAAGAAAGAAAAAAAAGATTTCGTGTATTTTACGCATATTTCATTGCATTGATCTTACGTGATATAGGTAGTACGTGAGAAATATGAAAGCCATAAAGAAGGGATCGAAATCCTAAGTTTGGCTGAGGATGAACTTGCTAGAGCTATTCCGCAAGGTACCGCTCTTCAAGAAAGTAATGCTGTTATTAAGCTCAGAAAATTAATGGAAGACGTAAGTGAAAAAAAGTCATAAATGTATTTATACACATTAATTTTTTTGTATTCTAATGTTTTTGGAGTATTTTCTTTTCCCTTGTTAGGTAACTACATTAAAAACTGTACGAGATACTATCGAAAATGAATTTAAATTCGCCGCCAATGATATGAAAACGACATTTCTTTCGGCACTTGCTAAAGACGGCGCGATCGACGAACCAAATATATCCGTCGAGAGTTTGGGAAAGTGTTATGGGCCTTTACAGAAGCAAGTACGAGAGAGTATAGCACAGCAGGAAAAATTAGTTGCTGAAATTCAGGTATATCTGACAATTTCATTATGGACAATTAAAGATTGAAGATGAGAAAAAAGGGCATATATAACATTCTTGCGATGGTTTTAGAGTTCCCATGCAGAATTTACGAACGAACAAGCTGGCAGCGGTAGTGCGCGAGAAGCGATGCTCTGTAAATTAGCTTCTGCTTACGATGCGTTTAAAGAACTAAAAAATAATTTAGTAGAAGGAGCTAAATTTTACAACGATTTAACGCAGGTACCACATTATTATTATTATATAAGATCGTTCTAAGATGTCAATTTAACTCGTCTATTAATGCGGTAGTTTAGTAGAGTTTGCGTTTCAAGACCGAACCATCATTTCGGTGCGCATTTTTAAAGGACTACATACGTAGTATATAAATTCACACAGAATTATACAAACCCTTAAGATCCAAGTAGACGTTTAAAGCATTGATTTCTATAGGTTGTGTTTTTCTGCACATTACGGTCCTGTAAGATTTAATATTGATTATTATTATTGTTGTTATTGTTATTATGGCTTTCAATTTACTGTTGAATGTTTCATCATCTAATATATCTCTTTCAATAGCTACTCGTGGTTTTCCAAAATAAGATATCCGACTTCTGTTTTGCTCGGAAAACCGAAAAAGAGGAACTCTTGAAAGATTTAACTACGAACCTAAGCCAGACCGGTCCCGCTGCTACACCGAGCATTCCATCTCATCACAGCAGTGGTACGGATCCGTTATTGTTAATTAGCTTTAACACCAGTAAATCTCAACCATCTATCTACAGGTCCTCCCGGCATAAACCCAACACCGGAAGTCGCCGCACCGTCGCCGCAACTACCTTATCCAATCCAACATCAAGGTGGTATGCCTATACCTTATGGTGCTACGCCAGCAACGCCGTATCCTGCGTACGTTCCTCCACCGATGCCGACGGCGTACAATCCATATGCTACAATGCCATATCCTACGCAAGGTATTCTTAGGATTTCACAGTTCTATCATTTATAAATACGTACACACGGCGTCATTAATGCCTAGGCATTAATGACGCCGTGTGTACATATATGATATATTGAAAAGCACATGTAAGATTTATCGATTTTTAGCTGGATATAATCCGTACCAGAGTATGCCTCAAGCTCCATATGGAGGTTATGCTACGTTACCACGTTACAGCGGTACTCAGCCACCACATGGACAAAACCCATGGTGAACTACATAGGCAAGGAGTGCTGGCATATATTGCGATTTAAAGTATAATCGTATATCACGCATTTTTATATATAAATTCTAGAAAAATCTACAATTAACATTGGATGATGATGTTACGTGTAATCCAAGGGAGTTTACGTTTACAATTGTTACACGTTTCATCGGCATCGAATTCTTATTCAATACAGGTTGATCGTTGAAATTTGTTAAGCTTTAAGCGTCGCTTTATCAGTTTTGTAGAGGGCTTATTATCAATTTATAAATATATTTTGTAAAATAAAGTGAACCTATAGAAATTATTTCTACCTCTAGATACTCTAGAGAAAAGTTTCAATGCGTCAATCAGCGACAATACAACTTTAAACGGCTTTACATACGTACAAACAGGGATATATACATGCCTGATAAAGATAAATTATATTAATATGATATATCAATTATATCATATATTAATATCAATATGATATTAATATCAATATGATATAATAATTTACTAATACATGATATGTATCATATGATACATGTATGCGATACATATCATATAATGCTGCATGTAATTGCGTAAAATTACTCGGATATAAGATGCAAATTGGAAAATTGCATTATTACGGCGGTACTTGGTGGTAATAAACAAAAAGCATCAAATCTATTTTTTCTAAATTTCAACGAGCATTAACCAAAAAGATGTTACAAATTTATTAAAAATTTATTATGGATGTTCTTCTGTAGCAATATCGCTAATATTTTTAAAACGATTATATTCGATAAATAACGCATGGTATATATTCGAAAAAATATTAATTAAAACAACTATTTAAATTTGATAAAGGAATAATGGATATTATTGTTATATCATTTTTTTTAAATTCCTTTTTTATTATACGAAAATCACGTATAATAAGTAATTTATTTATTACAAATTTACACGTACATATGTATATAATGTGTATATATATATATATATATACACACACACAGGGTGTACAAAAAGTCAATGAATCCATTAAATATCTTGAAAAATAAGCATTTTTGAGAAAAGTTTCAGACAGAAATTGTAAGGTTTAAAAAAGTCTATTTACTAATCACATCCGTTTAACCAAGGCTGCAGTCGATTTGGATGCTTTCAGCGCTTTTCAGTACTTCTATTCTTATTTTACGTCTAATGAACGATAAAGACAGAATGATGATTACAGGCGGTTAAGTCCGGATCTACAATAGGTGTTTCAAGTTTTAAGCTGTAAGAAATTGACCAACTACAATCGAATGCAAGAATAATAGATTATGATTCATCCATTTCTTATGGCTTAAGGCTTAAAAATTTACTGTAGATCCGGGCTGACCCCGGATAAATTTTTAAGCTTTAAGCCATAAGAAATGGATGAATCATAATCTATTATTCTTGCATTCGATTGTAGTTGGTCAATTTCTTACAGCTTAAAACTTGAAACACCTATTGTAGATCCGGACTAATAAAGCGCGTGAGCGTCCAAATCGACCGCAGCCTAATGGCTCCTGCACACTGGACGCAGAAACGCTTGCCGCGCGACAAAATGCAACGTGGTAACCAATGAACATGTAGGAGCTGTAAACTTATTGGCTGCTGCATCACGTTTTGCCGTGCGGCAAACGTTTCCGCGTCCAGTGTGCAGGAGCTACAATAGCTCCGGCATACCAGCGCGATGTTAGTTACGCACGACACGCTATATCCAATGATCCAATGACAGTATACCTTTAGAATGAAAAAATCGATAAGGCTGTACACTCATTGGATATCGCGTGTCGCGCGCGACGAACATCGCGTTGGTGTGCCGGAGGCATAAATCTCGAGAAATCGCTCAGCTCAAGGGACAGACGTGCCTCGATCCGAGTATTGTATTATCTAAACATTTTTCGGAAAGTGTGGCCGACTTTAAACGAGCATTACTATTCAAACTCGTTTTTATGTATTCTATTTTGAAACGCGATCTGACTGCATTTACTTCTAAAGGCTTATTCTTAGAAGCAGGTGCCATTAATTAAGAAGACATCCGTTTGACTTTGAATGGCGTCGCCAAGGTCAGGTCAAATCAATTTTTTTTAATGGGGAACGCCCTATTTTTGATATCAGAATTTAATAGCTGATGTGAAGAGCTTTCCAAAACACTATAATAAAGTTATTTTTTATTAAGTATTTTTTAAGTTATAAAGCTTGAAAATTACAGTACCGCCGATATTAGCATTATCCAACGTGTCCAACCAATAGTTAAAATCACTTGAATGTTATTCACATATTCTGAACAAGCTGAAAAGCTATTAGATTCTGGTATAAAAAAATAGGGTGTTCTATTTAAAAAATCAATTTGATCTTGATCTGACCTTGGTGACGCCATCAAAGGTCAAACAGATGTGATTAGTGAATAAATCTTTTTAAACTCTCAACTTTTGTCTGAAACATTTTTCTAAAAAATGCTTACTTTTTAAGATATTTAAGGGGCCCGGGACTTTTTGCACACCCTGTTTTGTATACATGCATTTTAACAAAACAACTATGTGAATTTTAAAAGGAATTGATATTGAAAAGTTTTTTTTTTTGGAGAGACTTCATACAGAAATATTTTGAAAATATTTACCAGTACAATATACATATATATCTAACATAGAAAAGAAATAAAGATGCGAAAAATAGATGTCATTTTCATAAAAGTATGTAAATGTGTAGATAAATCTTATTGTACATTCCAATGATAAAGCATGTGCATCAACCACAAATATGTAATCGAAAGGAAAACGAGATATATTGCTCCAATATTATTATGGTATTATTGATTCGCATTTCGCAAATATGTTGGTGATTGTACATCGATAGTATTAGAATGCTCAGTAGCATTGGCGAGATATCCCAAATTGATTATCTAAAAGATGTTTGCATGATTTTCAATATTTATACGATTAGATAATGCAGTATTAATTTCATGCTTTGTTATTCAAATATAATTATAACAATTAATTGTAATTGATTATATTTAAAATTACATCCCTACATATATAATATATCCATACGAATAATGGAAAAAAGTTCAGTTTCGCAGCAATACATGAAAAGTGACTCGAGATTTGAGATTGGATTGGAATTTAATTTAAACTCGGAAAAAAGAAAACCAATCTCAAGTTTAGTGAACTTTGCTGATTGGTTAAATTCCAATCCAACATTCAATTTCATAGCGAATTCGGCATATTGCACTAGTGCGTACTTAGTACGAACTTTTTCAGTGTCACACATTCGGCTTATGTGCACTGTATCAGTTCCATTTTGTCATATTCGGCAAATGAAAACTGACTCAATATAGCTGAATTTATATTCGGGCCAACCAAATGGATGAACGAGTTCAAGAAATGTTACACTGATGTTTCTGATAGTGCAGTTTGGCATAGCACTAAAGAGTGGTTTTGCACTTGCACCATGTCAGAACAGCACCAAAGCAGAGTCAGTGCATGTGTACCGAATTCGCCACCATTCTCTGGTCTGATTACGGCTTTATTAAATCTATTCTTTATAGTTGAACTAGTGTCACTCGTACTTAAAATAATAGACATATATTTGATGTTTGGTGAAAGAAAAAAAGCTCTAGTGCTGTTCACCAGTGCGGCAATTAAGAAACAGGTCTATTGTGTGGACCACAGAAACATATGTATATTATTGCATATGCTTATCTATGAAATATCTGATAATACTGCATTAAACTAATCGTTCAAATATTTATTTTAAATAAGTCACAAATTTTACTTTAATAGTATTTCATTGGTGTCAATAAGCGAAAAAAAGAACGTGAAACGACGCGGATTAATCTTTGGAGTGTCGACTACTGGAGCTGTTTGACTGTGAACGGCGTTTAAATTTCGCCTGGTTCGTGTCTGATACATTATCGTTCCTCTTATATTTATTCTTATCGTAACGAGAGTTGATATCATTGTCCTGATGGGAATTCGAATTATTCCGACGTCGATCATTGCGCTTATCATAATGCCTGTTATCTCTTCCAGGTCTATTGGTTCTGTAAGAATCTCGTCTTCGAGGAGAATAATTTCTCCGATTTCTTCTATCACGACTTGCTCTACGATCATAATCTCTCTCTCTGGATCTTCGACGATCTCTTGATCGAGAGCGTTCGCGTCTTCTATTCGTATCTTTAGAATCACGCCGAGAGTTTCTATCATTGTAAGAACGGTTAGCATCACGTTTGAACGACTTCTCATATTTGCTATGCTTAATCTCCTCCTTGTTCTGCATAATATCATTCCCCTCCGCGTTTCTCTTTATGTTATTATCCTGTGCCATTTTAGTCATAACCGCTGGTTCGTCTGCTTGATCGTTCTCTTTATTCTCCATCAATTTCGTTGTGTATATATTGTTATCCAGATCTGGCAATTGATCATTTTCATTGGGATTCTCTACGAATCTTTTAATTCTGTCAATTTCGCGTTGTTTAAATTCTTCTTCTTTCTTGAGACGCTCTTTTTCTATTTTCTGCAATATGAAACAACGCATAAAACAATTATACATCTTTAACATATCGCTCATTTGCTACATAACTAAAAAAATGATCCTTTTTTAGTTGCTTGTAGAAAAAGAACGGAAATACATATAAAGAAAAAAAGAACATACTTTAAACAAGAAAATACTCTTACTCCGCTTTAAAACAATTGTAAAAATGGGAAGCTATTCTTGTGACAGTGTTCCCCTTGACAGTAAATAATTATAAAAAGTGGTGAAATGCAAGTGAAGTACTTTTATTCAATGCGCATACGTAACCTAATTTCACTTACATATGCCTCAACAATCAATTATTATACCAAAATTGCATTTCAAAATGAATATTATAAAATTTGAATGAGTCAAAAAATATTGAATAAGATTCGTTTTCTGGAAAACTTTTTTTTTAGCAAACTGTTGTTTTGTTGTAGTAAGTGAGCAATATAAATACTAAAATGTACCTGAAATTCGTGCAATTTAATAGTACGATTTTGAGCTTGCTTCCAATGAGGTGGTGTCATACTTCTGGAACGACTTCGAGAAGGAGTATGATATCGCTGGAAATTTATATAAATGTGCATCCATAACGTTAGTTAAAGTTAGTAGTAAATGGAATAAATCAAAAGACAAATCAGTTGAATTAATCTGACGCTGTATTCTTATCTATTCGTTGATTATATGCAATTAATGAATGGATAACCATGGTTTCTAAAGATTCCTGAGTAGTTACCATAGCCGTATTGAATCGTGACGTCAGAAGTGAGAAATGACACGCGTTAATTTTTATTCCGTGCTTTTTTGTAAATAAAGACAACTTGGATAAAATGAAATGATAAGATCGCTTTAAAACAATTATAACAATGGACGAAAGCTATTCTTATGTCTCTTAACAAATAAATAATTATAAAAAGTGATAAAATGGAAGTGAAGTGCTTTTATTCAATGCGCATGTGTAGCCTTATTTTCGCTTATTTATGCTTTTTATCATTTTTTGATTATTTATCACAAAAATGATTGTCAAGGGAGGATAAGTATAGTTTTCGTCCATTTTTACAAATGTTTTAAAGTTTAAAGCAATCTCATCATTTTGTTTTATCCTTTATTTACAATGATTCTTTATTTACAAATGAAACATAACAAAAATTAACATGACATTTCTCGCTTCTGACGTCGCGATTCAATATGGCCATGATGATTACTCAAGAGCCGCAATAACAATTTATATTAATCACTTACGAATATTCCTCTACCCTTGAAAATACGACCAGTTTTTCTATGAGATCGTACACGATCTCTTCCATAATGCTGTCTAAATTCTTTCTGATTTGCATTATTGGTAGATCCTGCCCTATATAAAAATTTATTTGCTGGTACTTCTGGAATTTCGTCGGGATCAATTTTGGTTACGGATACTAATGGATGAGGTTTCCCATCGTCTTCCTCAGAATCCCGAATTTCACCTTCTTCTGACTTTGCTCTCTTTTTACTGAAACAAGATAGTGTAATTAATATAATATTGAACATCCGGACGTATACTTTACATACCTTTTCTTGCTCTTCTTTTTCTTCTTCGCCTTATCAGCATAAGAATCAGACTCTGAATCCGCCGAACTACTTTGCTTCGCTTCTCGTTTTTTCGCTGCAAACGTACACATATTACGACATAGATATAATGTATTTGACATTCTATATTTGTATTTGAAAAATGGAAAACGATTATACCTTTACTTTTAATCTTCAAGACTAATTCGCCACAGTTCACAACCTTAGCATCTTGCAATGGACGTGACATTCGGTCTACTGGAAGTCCTTCAATATGCGTAATGATCTCTTGCCCAGACACTACTTCTCCAAAAACCACATGGACACTGAAAACAAAAACATTTTCGTATAAATGAACAGGCTTTTAAACAAAGCAGGGTTGGATTATTTTTAACGATCAGTTAAAACAGAATATCTCAGGATCAATATGAATTAATATATACTCACTTGTCGAGGTGAGGCGCTGGTTGTGTTGTACTACAACAACAAAATATGATTAAGGGGATGAGAGATGAACAGAAAGAGCCAGAGCTTTCATTGGTCATTGTGTTGTAGTAGTGGTGTGCAGACCCCCTCACGACTACGCAAAAACATCGCTAAGTTATTCATTCCTCCAGAATGATTCTTATTCCTATGTTTTTTTCAACATTTGCCGTGAGTTCGCCGCATAAATATTATGGGAGTAATATTGTACATTCGTGTAAAAGAAAAACTTGCTTTTACCATGCAATTAAATCTGTCGATCATGTATATTTGGAACTTATGATATAATTGGAAATTGGCCTCATATTGCTTGAATTTCCCACATTTATATGTACTCAAGTAGAAAAATTTTTGGGAAATGTGACTAAATATAAATGTTGTATTAACTTTATTTACCATGATTTACATAAAACGCCCAATTATTAATAGAGAGAAGGCAAATTTTCAGAAAATTATTTTCTAAAAAGAAATCTATTAATACAAGGAAAACACATAATAACCGTGTTGTAATATCTTGCTTGTTAAAGATACCTGTAAGATTTTGCCACATATATAAGTAACAACATAATGTGTATAATATTTAGTTTCAATTTACCTTTGTAATATATTATTAAACTTACAGATTGTAAAATTTATACATATATGCATGTATAAATATCACTTATCAATTTTATAGAGAATAGTAATTTTACACATTATCTTAATGTACTTACATGAAAAATTGTGAACCATTGGTATCTCTACCACGATTCGCCATTGACAACAAGAATGGCTTGTTATGTTTCATAATAAAGTTTTCATCTGTAAAAAGAATCAATGATTGTTAAAAAGGTAGATTTTCACTTTTTTTCTTTGAATTAATATACTGAATGAAGATTTTGTAAAACTAGAATCTTATATATTTACCTCCAAATGTACCACCATAAATCGACTCGCCACCTGTTCCATTGCCTATCGAGAAATCTCCTCCTTGAATCATAAAATCCTTTACGACCCGATGAAAAACGATGCCTTTGTAATGCAACGGTTTGTTTGTCGTATTCCCAAGTCCTTTTTCTCCGGTACATAACGCTCGAAAATTCTCGCATGTTATGGGACAAGTGTCTGAAAATAGCTCAAAGACTATTCTGCCCATAGGCAGTCCACCGACCTCAACGTCAAAGAATACTCTTGTGTTAACATTAACCATGGTGTAAGAGTCTCTGAATTATCTGTAAGTGTCAAGAGAAATGAGCAATAAGTATGAAATTATATTACAAAATTGTGTAAATATTAGAGATTGTAGTTTTAAATGTGTATGAATGTGACACATGTGTATACGCGTATTTAGATTCATGTGAAAAAAAGATCTCTACTAAATATGTATATAAGATCTCTACTAAATATGTAATAAATTATATAATACAAGATCCTGTGGCATGTCATGATTATATCTTGGTGCATGTATTTTGCACTCTCAGACTCTCGCTTCTTTTTTATTGCACTTTCATTCCAAAGAAATATTAATGTCAAGCTCGGAAATCGCAAAGCAATACAAATAAAAGGAAGGTCAAACATGAGCAAATAATTATTTGATGTTTGACTTTTCTTTTAATTTTGTTACTTTCATTTCATGTCACTACTATTTCCATTTTATATTCTGAACATCTTTTTTTATACATATAACAACAGTCTCACACATCTTACTATTCGCTGTAAATATCTGTCTTTTATGCCTCATTTTTTCGTTATTAACACTTTAGCATTGAGTTTAATAAATCTAGTGTACTATTTTACTTTATTGTTTTTCAAATATCTTAATATAATTTTTAATTTTTCTTTAATGCCTTAATTCCCATTCCACCAATGTAAGATTAACTTTAATCTCTCAGTTTAATTTATTGTATCTTTTTTAAATTCTTAGAATTAGAAGAAGGTAAAGAGTAAATTAAACCAAAATTAAAGTTGTCTTATATTAGTGGAACTAGACTTTAAATGCTTAGTAAAATCAATCTGATATTCATTTCTACCAATATAGATTAACTTTAATCTTGATTTAATTTATATGTTATCTTCCTAATTCTTAGAACTATAGAAAAAAGTAAATTAAATCGAGATTAAAATTAATTTGCATTAATAGAAATAGTCATTAACCAGATAAATAAAAATCATTCACAAGTGAGGGATTCTTGTGAATTTTATATATATAACCCAAGTGTGCACATATAAATGATATGATAGTGTTAAACAAAAGTAGATGACATATGCAATAAATTTAGCATTATGTAATGGATCTTATATACAATGTATCATATATAGTGCATTTGATAATAAATTTGATTGGATGCATATTAAGGGCGTCATACACAAATTGGTGTAATAATGTGTATTTAATATAAATATAAAATCATGAGATTCTTAATTTCAGATTTTATTGTGCAGTTATGTAAAATCTGTATAATTCGTAATGTTTGTATTTTACTTTTATGTTTAGATTAAATCAATGTACAATGGTTATGTTTACATTGTGTGCTTAGCCTGTGACCTATACCCCAAATTTGACCTAAATTATTCAGGCTCCATGCTGTAAATACTTAGCAGATAACCCGTCTTAGCGTTAGGTTGTTTACTTTCTCGGTGTAAATGCATGTGATTTGTATAAAACACAAAATGGCTCTAGGTAATCCGAACCAGTGTGGATTAAATATAATCCTGTCAATTTTTAAGTCAGTTTTGGTACAAATGGTTGATAAGTAGACCTAGTTTGGGTCATGATATAGGTTGGATTGCTATTAAGTCGTTGGATGTACACGTAGCCAATGGCTTTAATCTGCACTAATACACACTAGTGCATCCAACAGAATTCATTATGATTGAATTTATACTATACTGGATTAATACGCATTAAAGAGACCGTTTTATATAAATTATCTAAATGTAATAGCATAATATTTAACTTTGACGATGAAATAATAGACGTATGTTCTATTAAATAATGTAACAATATCTCTCTCATTATTAGATACTTAATTATATAAAATATTTGTTTTTACATATAACTTTGTTAATTTCACACAGATAAAAAAATTAGCTATTCTTAAATTAACCATAGAATGCTTATATATAAGCAAAAATATTGTAATTTAATTTCAAAATATTTGTTTTGATTGAATTAGTATTCATGTAAGATTTTTAAATGAACACGTCCTGAATTGAAAGTACAAAGTAATACTTACATCAACATCAATTCAATCTAATCAAGATTAAAATATCTCAAGTAAGATTATAATAGATCTGTTCAAAACTAAGCAAAAATTATAGCTAAAAAGAACAAGTCTAATATTTCTGCTTATATATGAGCATATTAAGATTGATTTAAGAATAGTCTTTTTCTATGCATATGTAGCAGTTTTTAGTATGCACTAATCTAATACAAATTATATCAGCAAATTTGATTTGTATTCTAATATAATACAAATTATATTAGAATGTAAGTCAAATTCGCTAATAATTCATTATAATTAATTCACAGATGATCCTACCTGGAATGACTTCGCGATTTCATTTCACACGTCGAGAATGGCGTGCCATTCTCCTTCGTATGAATCGTTTCAAATAAAAACGTGACAATGAGGAAGCAAGGAACGATAATAACTATCGATTACACGTGCACGTCCGTGGAAATCTTGAAAAAGTTGGAGGGAAAGGTTAAAGGCTATGAGAACCGCATAGTGAGCTTACCTCCAGAATACTTAAGATTAATGAACCGCCCTCGACGCACGATTCAATCAAATCTGTGGAATGTACTCGGCGTCATCAATTATCCCGACCTGTACGTTCAATCACGTTTAATTCTCTGAGAGTGCGTGAGAGAAAGTCCAAGTTATTCTAGACCTAGACTCGCCGCTCAACGAGATCCGTTGAGAAGTTCGATCAAAAAATGGCTAATGTATTAACTATTCAACTGTTAACACAGATTAAAGGTACATTTTTAAAGATTCTTGGATCTCTCCAGCGATGCCAACTGATGCCAACACCAGAGAGAAAGCTGAGAGAGGCTATGCCGGTTTTTTTCCTGTTACGGTTGAAATCGCCCATACACTATCGCCAGTACATCCATTTTCAATTTGAGAACTACGTGACTATAATATATACACTTTCCAACACTATCGATAAAATCGTATCGTCGAAAGTAGATGTGGTTCGTCTCTGTACTAAATCCTCAGGACAAAAGCGTGCCGACTATCCATTTCGCATCTCCTACACATGTAAATAAAAGTTGTTGAATTTTAATAAACGAAATTGAAAATTCAAACAAGTTAATTTAATGAATTTTATTTTTCATTTAAAGTATACAATTTAAATAAAAAATAAAAAGAGTTATTTATACGAGTAGTATTTATTATTTTAAATAACTACACTTCTGACTTACTTCTTATTTTATATTTTTAATAAGTTTCCAGAGCCTATTTTATATTTTTTATTATAAATAATTTACATGTTAATTTATCGAGCCGTTATCGGCATCATACGTATAAGTTTATAGAATTTCAGAAACACAGAATAATTTGCAGTAATAGCAGCGTCTTAAATTAATTTATTAACTGAAAAATTAAATAATGATTATTATTATAGACAAGATATTTAGTACTTTTAGCCAAAGCTGTATCTAGCACAAATTGTTCCACGATATTAAGAAAATGTGTCTTTATATAAAAAACACAGAATATTCTATCAACCTTCATTCAAATATGAATCATTAAAAGGAATAATAAAAATTGAGACAATGTTGGAATATCAAAAATATCCCACGCGAATAATTATTAATTACGTTTAAAAGAACCATGCAAGTAATATATATAAAGAACATATATAGAATATATATATTATATATATTCTATCAACCTTTATTTAAATATAAATCATTAAAAGGAATAATAAAAATTGAGACATAATGTTGGAATATCAAAAATATCTCACGCGAATAATTACGTATAAAAGAACCATTAATATATGTTTTGTATTAATCCATTGGGGAATTTTTGATATTCCAACATTATGTCTCAATTTTTATTATTCCTTTTAATGATTCATATTATATAAAAGTTGATAGAATATTCTATATATATCCTTTATATAAAACACATGCAAATTTCCTTAATATCGTGAAACAATTTGTGCTACACACAGCTTTGGCTAAAAGTACTAAATATCTCGTTAATCATTACTTAATTTTTCAGTTAATAAATTAATTTAAGACACTACAGTTACTACAAATTATCTGTTTTCAGAAATTCTTTAAACTTACGTATAATGCCTATCATGGCTTGATAAAATAACATACGAATTATTAAAAATAATAAAAAACATAAAATAGCTTCAGAAATATAATTAAAATACAAAATCGTAGAAATTAGTAAAAAGGAGATACGACTCGTTTAAAATAAAAAATATAAAATAATTTCCCGAAATTTATATAAAATATTAAATAAGAAGAGTAAGTCAGAAGTGTAGTTATTTAAAATAATGAATACTCTACTCGTATAAATAACTATTTAATTTTTTATTTAAATTGTATACTTTAATTTTCGTCGCTTTTACAAGTATATAAACGCTTTTTAATGGTTTTTACGTATATCTTGACATCTTTAGAAAGTATTTGTAAAGTTGTATATTTATAACAAATTATATATAAATTGTTATAACTAAATATAGTTAACTAAATGGGAAGTATGTACTTTTTCATACAAAAATGTTAACCTTTGAAACAAAAAATTTAAAGGAAAAATTATATTTATAACAAATTATATATAAATTGTTATAACTAAATATAGTTAACTAAATGGGAAGTATATACTTTTTCATATAAAAATGTTAAACTCTGAAACAAAAATATCAACTTTAAGATATCTATTTTTGTTTCAGAGTTTTACATTTTTATATGAAAAAGTATATACTTCCCATTTTGTTAACTATTTAGTTATATTAACTATATTTAGTTATAACAATTTATATATAATTTAAAATAAATATACAACTTTACAAATACTTTCTAAACATGTCAGGATACACGTAAGAACCATTAAAAAATTTTTATACACTCGTAAAAGTGACGGAAATTAAAGTATACAATTTAAATAAAAAATTAAAAGAATTATTTATATACGAGTAGTACTCATTATTTTACATAACTACACTTCTGACTTATTCCTTATTTAATATTTTATATAAACTTCCGGAAACTATTTTATATTTTTTATTTTAAACAAGTTGTATCTCCTTTTTACCAATTTCTACGATTTTGTATTTTAATTATGTTTCTGAAACTTATTTTATGTTTTTTAATTTTAATAATTCGTATGTTATTTTATCGAGCCATGATCGGAATTATACGTAAGTTTAAAGAATTTCTGAAACACAGATAATTTGCAGTAACAGTAGTGTCTTAAATTAATTTATTAACTGAAAAATTAAATACTGATTAACAAGATATTTAGTACTTTCAGCCACAGCTGTAATTAGCACAAATTATTTTACGATATTAAGGATATGTGCATGTATCTTTAAGGAACATATATAGAATATTTTATCAACCTCTCTCTCTCTCTCTCTCTCTCTCTCCTCTCTTTATTTAAATATGAACACACGCATTGTTTTACGCACGATCAATTCCGCGTCGTTGTCCCGAACATGCATCGCAGACACTTGTCGCACTAGCGCGTTTGAATTGACGAAATATTGACGACGAAAGACGCTATATGTTTGCGCGAGCAGCCATGCTACGAGTCGCCACGAGTCGCGTGAAACCCGTAAAACAGCGTCACAACGCGCGGAATTTTCGCGGAATAGACTGTATGACTA